CGGCGCGGAGCCAAACAGCCCCCGCCGCTGCCGGGTGAAAATGTGCCAGGAGCAAAAGAGCCCCAGGATGGGCCGAGGGAGGGCGGAAAGGCCAGACTTTAAAAAAAAAAAAGAAAAAAACAAGAGGCTGATTTCGCCTCTGAGATGTTGCATTACTAATTGCGGTGCTGCATGAGCTGATTTTTCAAAGCTCGAGCTATCCTGGTGCCACCCCCCAGGAACTGTGCGCGAGCAAGAGGGCAGTGCGTGGTGAACGCGCCAAGAGCTGTGCATCCAGCCTGGCAGCAGAGAGAGCTGCTAGGAAGGGGGCGACCAGGGCGATTGTGGGGTTGTGCCCCAGCGAGTGCACAGCTGGAGCGGTCCAAGGTGGGAGGGGGAGGCTGCCCTGAACCCCGCAACCTGCTTCTCCAGCAGCCGCTTGGCCACAGTGCTCCCCATGTACCGTGGCCCCGGCAAAGCACCCCTCTTCCCTCTGTCCTGCCTCCCTCCTTCCCTCCTTCCGTTCCTCCTCCTTCTCTCTTTCCTCCCTTTCCTCCCTCCCTCCCTCCCTCTCCCATGGGAAGAGGAGGAGGAGGAGGAGGCAGCAGGGCAGGAGTCACGGAGGATGAGCAATGGGGGCCAGGCGATAAAGCACTGAAACGCTCCAGGTTTCGGCTGCTTCGCGGAACAGGTTTGGTGACCGCTTGGCAGGAGTTGTCCCCAGCGAGACCTCACATGGGCTGGCCCACTACAGTGGTGTCCTTGGAGTCCCAAAACTGTGGCACCTGGCTGCACCCGCTTGGCGCACGTGGGCTGGCTGAGCAGATTAAGACTTGCCCTGGCATGGTGTGAAGGGTATTTTGGTGGGTTTTGGAGCTGTGCAAAGCCCTGCAGCCCAGCCTCTGGGAATCACTCCTGGATGAGATGCCACCAGGTCTTCCCGCTCTGATTACACAGCCCTGAGCTGCTCCGCAGTGACAGAGAACTGAATCAGTTGTGACACCTCAGGGCTGGCGAGAGCTCCCTGAGAGCGACCACCAGGGCAGCTGACGTGGCTGCACATCAGGCAGGTGTTATGTTATGAGTCCTGCTGGGTTAATCATGGGTTAAACCCCGTGAGTAAGTGAAGGTTACTCAAGTAATGTCATGCCTTCATTTTATAATAAAAGTCAAAAGTACATGATGATGAGGTCCCTTGCTGTCCAGCCATCCACCCAACCATCCATCTGTCCATTTGTCATCCACCCATCTATCCATCCACCCATCTGTCCATCCACCCATCAGTCCATCTGTACACCTAACCATCCGCCCTTCAACCCAACCATCCATCCATTTGTCCATCTACCCCCCCACCTGTCTATTGATCTAGCTGTCCACCTAACCTTCCATCCGTCCGTCCTTCCCCTGACTGTCCATCCACTCATCCATCCATTTGTCCATCTGCTCATCCACCTAACCATCCATCTGTCCCTTGACCCACCCATCCAGTCAGCCATTTGTCCATCCAGCCACCCAACCATCCATTTGTCCATCCACCCAACCGTCTAGCCATCCTTCTTGCCTCTGTGTACAGAACAGCAAAGCAACCTTCACCAGCTGGGCCAAGGAGTGACAGGACCAGGCAGCCGGCTCCACCAGCAGAAGGTGGTTTAGCTGCCTTGGCTGAAGGAGAACGCCACCACTTCACACCACTCACCCCAGCAGGGAATTCGAGCCACAGGAGCTGGAGAGAAGGCCACGACACACAAATCAACCCTGCAGTGTCCCGAAAGAGGACATGCTCTCCATGGGCACACCAGGTCTACCTGCCTAGGGTGTTCCCCACATCCCCATCTCTGCCTCAGGCGTCTCCCCTCTCCCTCTGAGTGCCCAGGAATCAAGGTCTTCAGGTGGGCCAACGCCTGGGAGGGGATCCCAGGAGCCGGAAACCCAACACAACTCCCGTTCCCTGCTCAGCCCCTCCACTCCAACGTCCTCCTGGCTTCGAAAAGCGGAGTGCCTGCACCCGATTGCACCCTCATTAGCGCGGCACTGTAATTAACCCTCTAACAGCTGGCTGCAAAACCCCGTGGTTTACGGCAGTCCTATTTTTGGCACCTGAAATGAGCCACGGGGCAGGACAGGAGACGGGCAGGGAGAAGCCCCCCGGACGCAGGTGGCCAAAGTTAAAGCAGAAATATTCCCATGCCCAAGGTCAGATGGGAGAGCAGGGAAAATCAGGGCAGATTTGGGAGCGGGGAGGGGAAGGACCTCTTTTGCCCTACGGCAAATCCTTGCTCCCGGATCCGAAGGTCAGCGCTGACAGCGGCGATCTCTTGGCGCGGTCTCATCCGGGTAACGGAGCACCAGGCTGTGGTTAAGCAAACGGATGCTTAAAAATCACGCGGATGGAGGATCCCGAGCCAGGGCTCGTGGGCAGCAACGGCGGCGGTGGCAGAGGGAGGCC